TGAGGAAGGGGCATATATTACCAATAGAATGTTCCTGAAGCTGGATTGATGTGAGAAAACACCTTTCCTTTCTAGTTTTGAGAGACTTCCTCTTGGCGTCCAGGAGGAAGGATTCCCTGAGGCTGACACACATAGCCACCTTGGCACAAATGCCTGGTGGTGTGGAAAAACTAAACTGCATTTTTATGTCCTCTTCTCGCTCTCTGCCTTCAGCATAGACTTAACTCCCTTAAACCCAGACACCTATTGGAACCAGACCTTCCCAAAATCCGTTACCAGTGTGCCAGGCAATCTGGACTTTCCAGTGGTACCATTCAGATGGCATCCCTCAAAAGAGCAGCGGTTCCTGTTCTAGATTGTGGCCTGTCAGATAAATTCCACCATTTCTTTTCATTTCTTGAAAGTCAGGGTTGGCTCATGAAAAGTTAAACAACATGCTAAATGTGAAATGTCAACCCTTCATCTAAACTTTCCCTTACATGTTGGTTTTCCTCATATCAGAGTGTCCTGGCTCACATAATATTCTTGCGGTCAAGTGTGTATCAAAGTTCACAGCCCTAGTGATTTTTTAGGTCTCCGCATTCTTTTCTCTTTCACTTAATTGCCATGTGATCCCCAGAGCTAACTTGAAAGACACTCCCTGGCTAACGCCTTTTGCAATATCTATATCCTCATTGTCTATGAAATTAAGTGTAAAGCCCTTGGCATGGCATAGAAGGTTCTTCCCTTATGTGGCTGGGTCAGGGTATCAAATGAAGAGTTTGTTTGGGTTTTAGAGTGGCTTTCTGATTTGAATAGTCCATTGAAGGAGAGAATTTGAAAGCTGTTCTATATTCTTAATGACTGCACATGTCCTGCCTGATACCATGATTGTTTACGAAAAGTATCTTTTTTTTTTTTTTTGAGATGGAGTCATGCTCTGTCTCCAGGCTGGAGTTCAGTGGTGTGATCTCAGCTCACTGCAAACTCCTCCTGGGTTCAGGTGATTCCCCTGCCTCAGCCTCCCAAGTAGCTGGGATTACAGGCACACGCCACCATGCCTGGCTAATTTTTTGTATTTTAGTAGAGACAGGATTTCACCATGTTGGCCAAGATGGTCTCGATCTCCTGACCTCGTGATCCACCCGCCTCAGCCTCCCAAAGTGTTGGGATTACAGCCGTGGGCCACCAGCAGGAAAGTGTCTTAATAAAGCTGGATACAAGGCCAAGCGTACTAGCTCCTAGCACTTTGAGAGGTCTAGGTGGGTAGACTGCTTGAGCCCAGGAATTCAAGACCAGCCTGGGAAACATAGCAAGACCTAGTTTCTACAAAAAATAAAAAAGATTTTAGCCAGGCATGGTGGTATATGAGTGTAGTCCTAGCTACTTGGGAGGTTGAGGCAAGAGGATCGCTTGAGCCCAGGAGTTGGACGCTGCAGTGAGCCATGATAGTGCCACTGCATCCAGCCTGGGCAACAGAGTGAGACCCTGTCTCAAAAATAAATAAATAAAATAACAAATGAAATGAAATAAAATAAAATAAATAAAATTTTAAAGCTGTATACCATTTGGCTTGGGGGAAAAAAAGGAGTTGCAGTGACCTACAAAATAATATAGAGTGAGAAGATGACAGTGCACTGATTACTCAACTCAACAAACATTACTTGAGCACTTGCCGTGTGCCAGGCATGGTAACAGGAGCTGGTGAAACAGAGGTGAAAAATAATACTCTTTTTGTGTCCACAGTCAATTGTTGTCTAGTAGGCAAAGCTAATATAGGAAGATAATTAATCAGAGCACAATTAGTACAGGCAAAAGAGGTATTGCAGGTGCAATGGTAACACAGAAAAAGGAATCTCCTTGGAGAAGGAGACACAACAGTTCATGGAATGCAGGAAGTTGGAGCTGGAATTAGGTTTTCACAGTAAGAGAAAAGGAGAAAGGCATTCTAAGCTGACAGAACAAGCTCTGCAAGGGTATGCATTAGCATGACACATTTGGGCAACTACAAGCAGGTGTTACCCCGGATCATAGGGTATTAGAAGGTAGCCAACAGGAGTGAGGTTAGGGAGGCAGACCCAGCCACATAAGGGAAGAACCTTCTATGCCATGCCAAGGGCTTTACACTTAATTTCATAGACAATGAAGATACAGATACTGCAAATGGCGTTAGCCAGGGAGTGTCCTTCAAGTTAGCTCTGGGGATCACATGGCAATTAAGTGAAAGGGGAAAGAATGTGGAGACCTAAAAAATCACTAGGGCTGTGAACTTTGATATCACACTTGACCTCGAGAATGTTATGTGAGCCAGGACACTCTGATATGAGGAAAACCAACATGTAATATTTTTATCTTACAAAGCTGATAACACAGAGAATTAACAAGTTATGCATGTATAAACAGTAGAGTCACAGTTAGGAAGTCGGCAAGTGTCCGTCACTTGAGTCCTGTAGTGTCATCTACCTGATTCACCTTTGGGCTTATCAATAGCATATACAGAGTCGTCATGATCACTGCCTGG